CCAAGTATCTTGTCAGGTTTTTATCCAGAAATTCAGGTTAGAGCCCTTCTTTAGGGATCTACATAATCCATTGGACTTTTCTCTAATTTTGTTTTGGTCTTAATCTTTAAAAACTTTGTTTTGTTATATTTAAAGCCAAAATATTTTCTTTCTCATTGATAATTTACACCTCAAAGATGTTTTCTTAAATTGAGGAATCTCAAATTTGGATTCATGAATCTCTTATTCACTGATCTGTGAGAGCATTTTTTTCCCCTTTAAAAGGAATCTGCTCATTATTAAAGCTTGACAAGTAATATTTAAAGTACATTTATAAGTAGCAAACACTTGTTAAGTTTTCTTAAATTTTAGGTTTTCTCTAATTTAATTTAATTTCAATGATATTGACTTTATAAAAAGAACATGTCGTTTTTATTTTTTTCTGATTCACAGGACTAAACAGAAACTACTGTAAACCATTCCTCTGCCAGTTTTATTACTCAGAGATACTTAACATGAGCAATGATGCATGTTATAGGACATTTTCAGCAAAAGGAACAAAAGGTCCTTGATATTGATAAAGGAATAAAAGGTCCTTGTTATTGATAACAATAATAGTTGTTATCAATACGGTATATTAAAACTCTGTTATCTAAAGCTGTTAGTTGACAGGGCTTAGAAGTCCCTTCAAAAAGGCAGAAGAGATTGACGATGAACGTGTTTCATAGTTTGCTATTTCTACATCAAAACTTAAGCCCAGAAATATGACAATGCCAGCAGCTAGTCATTGACCCTGTCTTTGTTAACCCCTGTCAATGATGACATAGACAAACGTAGTTGTAGTCCCTTCTCCGTTCTAGTCCGTCTGCCACATATTCACTTTTCACCAGCACTTACTTCTCTATCAAAATATTTTCCAGAATGAGAAATGAACCCACTTCCAGGCCAGAGAGAAATGAGAATGAGTGATTCTAGTTAATGACTACCAGATAAGAATTTGCTTATTTTCCTAATGGTCTACTGTGTCCTGCTAAGCGATCATGTCACAAACAAAATAGATAAGTCTAATGGGAGAAACATCTAAGGTTTCAGGATACAGCCACAGCACCTTTTTCTATGTAAAATATTTTTTAAATAAATAAACTAATAGTGGCTGCCAACAAATGAAATCTAAGAATAATATAACTGAGTTTTCAGGCAAAATATTTTCACAACTTGTGAAATCAATAAATAAAATATCTAAGGACTAAACACATACATTCTTTTGTCTACCTTAAAAATATTTCTATGCTTAAGAAATAGTGGAGAGAAAGACATAAATGTAGTGAAAACATGTTTCTTCAGTGGAAGACAAGATTGAGAATTCCAGTCTAGGATTGCATCATGTAGACTTTTCTCAACTGTTTTCCTGTCATAATTATCTGAGATGCATCTCCCAAAGTAGTCCCAAATAGGAAACCCCTATTAAACAAAATGTAAACACTAAACAAATAGTAATGGTGGTCTTCAGTCTTCAGTTCACCACAGTGGTCTGACCACATCGAATATGAATGAGTAGGTGGTTTCCAGAACACTGCCAAATAATAGAAAACAATCTATTGAAAATAACGTTGAGTGGTGGAAAAGAGATGCCAAACTGTTTCATCCTCATATTAATAAATTAAATAAAGTAAAAATATTAATGAAAATACAATAACAGAGCAAGAATATCATTTAGGGAAAACATTTCCTTATGTTTTATTATAATTAACAGTTATAGAGAGTAAAAGCAAGAAAATGGGGGGAGTTTTGGTTACTGTTTTCAGAACTGGTCTAGCATGGAGGTTGCCTTACCTGCCTTAGGGAAGCCGTTTATTTATTACTCTGTTTTTATCTATTAGTAAATGATGCCCAGGGAGAGAAAGAAATCCTGCTTTAAAGAGATATTGAGTTTATTGAATTTAACGTTTGTAAAGTTGGCTTAGTTGTTTAGCAATCAAAAAAAGTAAATTAAAACTCTTATTATAGTATTTGTAGCATTTAAACCTATAATTAAGGTGACCAAATATTTTCCATAACCCCCCCACTTATATCAATTTTGTTATTTGAAGCTAAAACTTTCCATGGCTTCTATATATGTATTGCCTGGAATCACTTAAAAATAATTCGAATAAGTTTGAGTTTTGGTAATCTGTCTTTCCTTGACTAATTTAAGAGATAGTCATTGACATTTTTATAGAAAACAAAGCACATTCTATATTTCGTTTTGGATTAGACCTTAAAATCAAATGTAACGTTCAGGGAACCTTCAAAATGATCATATATGAGCTTGGAAAATAATAGTTTAAAGATAATAATGTCCTTCAAAAATTAAAACCATGATCTCAACATGCTCTGTTGCAAATTTTACTTTGGATATGTGTTCCTGCTGCTTGGATCAGTTCCTCCTCTCTCATTTGATTTTATAACATCACCAAACTGGTTGTTTGAATGTTGTACAGACAGTTTATACTATAATAATTATTTTTGTGCTTTGAAAAAGACTTCTAGAAGCATTATGTTAGAAAACTTTCCATAATATAGGATATGGTTTGGCTGTGTCCCCATCAAAATCTCATTGTGAATCCCCACGTATTGTGGGAGGGACCTGGTAGGAGGTAATTAAATCATCAGGGCAGTTATTTGCCATGCCGCTCTCGTGAGAGTGAATAAGTCTCTTGAGATCTGATGGTTTTAAAAAGGGGAGTTTCCCTGCATATGCCCTCTTTTTGTCTGCTGCCCTACATGTAAGACATGACTTGCTCCTCCTAGCCTCCCACCATGATTGTGAGGCCTCCCCAGCCATCTGGAGCTATAAGTCGATTAAAACTCTTTTTCATCCCAGTCCAGGGTATGTCTTCATCAGCAGTGTAAAAACAGATGAATACAATATATAATACACATTATATATATATTACTTTATATTATTAATCATTTAAGAGGAATAGTATGTAAACATGCGAGATGAATTACAATCTTATAAATACATAGCAAAATTTTATGTTAGATTGACTATAATATTTTAGTTTTAGTGCTTCAACACTTAGCCAATGGATATTATAGGACAAAAAGTACAGGATGGGGATGGAGAAGAAAAGAGAGGGAAAGGTAAATATCAATAATATTTTCAGTTTTCCAAACTAGATATAAATTTCTTTCTCTCTTTTTTTTTAAATTTAGTAACCAGAAAGTGGGTGACCAGGTTGTTCACTCTACATTATCAGTACAAGTAAACTAGTTGATGAAGTTTTGCTGTTGTGTTTAAACTTATGAAGATATTTGATAAAGATACTGGAATATTTTCCATAGCTTTTAATTTGAGAGCACAGACTTTTCATCGTGTATTTATTGAGAATCTTCTGTGCTCAGCTGGATTAGGCAAAAACAGTACCAAAAGAATTAGGCACAGAAAACTGTTTTAAAGAATTTAGGGTAACAGAAAGTAGCTACAACACAGAGTGATGATTGTGAACTTTGAAAGTAAATTTGGTGGGTTTCAGGATTTCCGAGGAAGAAAGTCAAACAGTACTAAAGAGTTGGCAAGGCCAACTGAGAGGGTGGTAAGCTATCCTAAGCCCTTTCTTCTACATTAACTTTGCTTTCCAGTTAGTCTTCAGGTGCTTTAGAATTTGAGATCCTTGTTTCTCATTGTGTGGTCCATGGACTGGCAGTATTAGCATTACCTGGAAACTTGTTTAAAATGCAGAATTTTGGGCCCCAAATCAGACCTACTAAATAAAAGTCTCCCTTTTAAAGAGATTGTTAAATGATTCATAGTAGTTAAAGTTTGAGAGGCATTACTTTAGATTCTGTCTTCTTACCTTTCATACCCAGCTGAAAGCAGAAGTTTGTATTTCCCTTTACTTTTGACCTTTAGGAAAGTACCATCTCAAAGAACACCTGTATGTATGCAGTGTATTTAAGGAGAGAGAATGGGCTCAAGATAACCTTTGGTCCTAGTTCCCTACAGCATACATGTGAATGGGAAACATTCATAAGTTCCCATTTGCCAAGGGTATGTAAATGTGATAAAGCAGATCCAAAGACACATGGGAGTGAGACTAGGAAAGTATTAAGAACATGGGCCTTGGCCTGGCATGGTGGCTCACGCCTGTATCCCAGCACTTTGGGAAGCCGAGGCTGGTGGATCACAAGGTCAGGAGTTCGAGACCAGCCTGGCTAAGATAGTGAAACTCTGTCTCTACTAAAAATACAAAAATTAGCTGGGCACAGTAGTGGGCACCTGTAATCCCAGGTACTCGGGAGGCTGGGGTCACTTGAATCCTGGAGGCAGAGGTTGAGGTGAGCTGAGATCACTCCACTGCACTCTAGCCTGGGTGACAGAGCAAGACTCTGTCAAAAAAGAAAAAACGAAAAAAAAAAAAAGAAAAGAACATGAGCCTTTCGACTAGGAACTATGGCATAACCATAGGCAATAGCAAGATGCGTCAGTGCACCCAAAGGCCAGAAGGGATGGATACATCAACAGTGGAGACCAGAAAAGGCCCAGAAAGCAACTAGTGGAACAGAGGTCTCTCCAATCCTCACTCTTACGAGTTTTTCCTTAGGGTCAGATACCTTCCAGGGAGAGACAAAAAAGAAGGGTGGTGTGGAAATGTGAGAAAGAAAGTAGGAAGATCACCTGGAATTGGCCTAGCTAACCTGAAAAAGACTAAGTTTTAAACTGGAAGAAAATGGGTTGCCAGGCAGGGCCAAGTTTAAATTATTTTACCCATTAGCAGATACGAAGCTATATGTAGAAATAATTCTTTTATGAAAAACAAAACTCTACTTGTTCATATCTGATTGAAAATATGACAACTTTAAACTATAGTATAAATATGAGATGTTGGTTAAAATCCTTCAGTGGCTTCTTATGTCCACTGTGTTCTATCTTGGCATATCCTATTCTGTTTGGTTCTGGCCTACCTCTCTAGCATCATTTCCTGATACCAGCAATGGAAACTGAAAAATAAAAAATATGTCAAGGAATAGAAGGAAATTAAAGTGTAAATTCTAAGCCATTAGACCTATATTTCTCTCTGTGTGTGTGCACACGTGTGTATTGGTCTATCTGACTGTGTGTAATATACATAAGAATATTAACTCTTTAACCACTTCACTCTGACCAAAATAATACTGCATTAAAAAGTATCCCAAAACTCAGTGGCTTAAAACACTGAATCAGTTATCCAGCAGATCTTCAGACTGGTGCAAGTTTGTGCAAGTCAGTCTTGCTGGGATGGTTCTACTGGTCTTCTCATTCATACTCTGGAACCAATTGAGTTCACTTGGGGATGGCTCTGCCTCACATGTTTCATATCCTCCTGTGGGACCAGCAGGCTAGTCTAAGCAAATCCTTCTTGTCCTACCTAGGTTCAAAAGTACAGGGCCAATCATGTTGTAGCTTTACAAACTTCTGTTCATGTCACATCTGCTATTATTCCACTGGTCAAAGAAAGTCACATGAAGAAAAAAAAAAAAAAAACAGTCAAGGGGCTGGAAAATTTGTTCCACAAACTATAGGAAAGCACTGAAAGCTACATGCCAAAGAGTATAGGTTTATAAATCAATTACTACAAACAGAAAGTAACGCACTCCACCTCAAATCTCATTTTTAAAATAACTGCCACCACATCATATGGACAGATGTGTAGCAATTAGAGATACAAAATCTGGCACAGTAGTACTTAATCTCTCTACAATATAACCCTATAATCAAGTCTTGTTTTCATTTTCTGTCTTTTAGGAAAACTTATTTAAAGAACTACAAAATGATAGCCAAATTATATTTTATAATTAATGCATTCATAAATATGATTTTATCATTTTCATGTTCTTTTAGAGGAGTGAACAAGCTATAGCTTGTGGGCCAAATCTAGCTCAGCACATGATTTTGTAAATAAATTTTTATTGGAACACAGCTGGTGTCATTTGCTGATGTACTCTCTGTTATTGCTTTGATGCTACAACAACAGAGTTGGGTAGTTGTGCCTGATCAAATATTTACTGAAAAGCTGAAAATATTTACTATCTCACTCTTTGCAGAAGTGTTTGACACTCTGTTTATCCTATTTAAGGCAATTATACTTTTTATTGCCCCTAGCTGTCAACAAATGTCTATCTTCCTTCAAAAATGAAGAAAGATTTAATGAATAATGGAGCCAGGATCTGAATGCACAACTGGTTGACTCTAAAACCAGTACTTTCATCTAATAGATTATGCTGCTTCCAAAGTATTTATAATACTTTGAAGAATGCCACCCCTTATATGGGTGGGAAAATAGAGGGCCCAATGTATCACTTACATTCAAATTATGCAAAAGTTTTGTTAAAAATTTTAAATTCTTGAGCTAATAAAATTTATATGCGAGAGATTTGTGAATGTGAATTTCAGCAAAGGTCATAGGTAGTCCTTATTTACACTAAAAATAAAGATCCTGAGGTATAAGTGAAGGAAGCAATATGTGATTAATATTGGATTTGAGCTGGATTTGAGGAGAGTTGAAAAAGCTTCACATCATTATGGCAACAAATTGAGTAAAGAATCGATGAAGCCTGGGAAAATAAAGGACTTCTAACGAGAACCAAAAAAAAATCACTAGAAGTTATCTAAAATATACTTGGAATACATAGTATTCTAGCTCATCCTCAGTTTTCCACCTTGGGTCTACTATTGTAATTATGATTCTCATGTGAATCTCCAATCCAGAAGCAGCTCAGATAAACAAGAGAACTTAGAAGGTCAGAAATACTGTATGCATGCTATATACACAGATGTCTGTTTTGTGGGTGGAATTTTTTTGTAATCCACTTTTCCAACAAATATTTGGGATAAGTTATAACAATATCAACAGAAATATGATACAACATTAACACAATAGGAATAGATTATCATAATGTAATATATATTGTGAATTGTCTTTTCAGTCAAAATATTGATTGTGACTTTTCTTTCTGTTTAAAAATTGTAGGGAAAGGATAAAGTTGAAAACAAAGGGTCATTAGCACCCTACTTTGCAGGTTCAGAAAGATGTCTCCAAGTAGCCTAGAGTAGGATCTAGCCACAGTGCTGCAGGGCTTGCCAAGAGGCATTGGAAGCAGTCTTACTGCCACCCCTCAGTTGATAAATATCTATGAGCAATGTTGCTTTTCCTCCCCAAAACCAAGGTAGGCACTGTAAGTAGATCTTTCACAGAGACTGGGGAATTCCTGCAGAAAGAGATGCCTGGTGTCTTGTCTTTCCCAACTAGACACTTGCTGAGATGCAGAGACTAAAATCTCAACTCAGGCCAACGCTAGGGAAAATTTTAGCGAGAGAATCCTCAGAATAAACATCTGAAATCTCAGAGTATGTTATACTATTCTCTTCAATTGCTTTTATTAGGGTATCAGAAAAATTAAGATAACTCGACATATAACCTCTGAAATTTGAACACAGATATTTGTGCTTTTCCTTGTATAGAGATTTCTGAGGCCTGGAGGTCTAGTGGAATGGGACATGCCTTCAAGTTTTCAAAGGGTCATAGTGTAATGTGTCTGGGAATAAAATAGGGCCACTTAGGGTTATGGGAATGTGCAAGAAAGGATACCATGGGGGTTAGTGGTGTGGGATGAGCTGCAGAGCTGCTCAAGAGGTCATAGAGGTCAAGTGATTAGATGTATATATTAGAGAAAGGATTGGGGATTTTGTACCTTTGACTTGTCAAAGGGAGTCAGGACTATACTTTGGAGGAGGCAAAAGGCCTGTGGCAAGGTGAAAAAAATAAGTCTGTGTAGCACTTAAGCATCATATGAATAGGACACTAGGAGAAAAGGTGAGAACAATTGAAACCAGAGTGAGGTCAGAGAATCTCTCCAGCACAGATACTTGTTCTCCACCCTCATTTCTCCACAATGTCCCTACTGTGGAAACTAAATGCCAGGAAAGGGAAGAAGATAAGGTTTCTCTGCCACCTTACTCCAAGAGCTGAGGAGGCAATGTTTTAGCTTGTGGTAGATAAGGGAAGGAGATCATTTTTGAACTGAACTGAGATTAAAGTTTTTAAAATAAAAAGAAATATGTCTAGTACTAAAACAAACAAATAGAAATCTTTGCTAATAAGTGAAAGTAATTGCTAGGAGATAATGCCCATGAGTGTCTTGCATTTGTGTACTTCTTACAAGTGGATGTACCAGCTGACTTTGTTCTGGACTCTCCTTTTTTTTTGTTGTTATTATACTTTAAGTTCTAGGGAACATGTGCACAACGTGCAGGTTTGTTACATATGTATACTTGTGCCATGTTGGTGTGCTGCACCCATTAACTCGTCATTTACATTAGGTATATCTCCTAATGCTCTCCCTACCCCCAACCCCTCCCCACAATAGGACCTGGTGTGTGATGTTCCCCTTCCTGTGTCCAAGTGATCTCATTGTTCAATTTCCACTTATGAGTGAGAACATGCAGTATTTGGTTTTCTGTTCTTGCGATAGTTTGCTGAGAATGATGGTTTCCAGTTGCATCCATGTCCCTACAAAGGACATGAACTCATCTTTTTTTATGGCTGCGTAGTATTCCATGGTGTATATGTGCCACATTTTCTTAATCCAGTCTGTTACTGATAGACATTTGGGTTGAGTCCAAGTCTTTGCTATTGTGAATAGTGCCCCAATAAACATATGTGTGCATGTGTCTTTATAGCAGCATGACTTATAATACTTTGGGTATATCCCCAGTAATGGGATGGCTGCGTCAAATGGTATTTCTAGCTCTAGATCCTTGAGGAATCACCACACTGTGTTCTACAATGGTTGAACTAATCTACAATCCCACCAACAGTGTAAAAGTGTTCCTATTTCTCCACATCCTCTCCAGTACCTGTTATTTCCTGGTTTTTTAATGATTGCCAACTGGTGTGAGATGGTATCTCATTGTGGTTTTGATTTGCATTTCTCTGATGGCCAGTGATGATGAGCATTTTTTCATGTGTCTGTTGGCCGTACGAATGTCTTCTTTTGAGAAGTGTCTGTTCATATCCTTTGCCCACTTGTTGATGGGGTTGTTGATTTTTTTCTTGTAAATTTGATTGAGTTCTTTATAGGTTCTGAATATTAGCCCTTCGTCAGTTGAGTAGATTGCAAAAATTTTCTCCCATTCTGTAGGTTGCCTGTTCACTCTGATGGTAGTTTCTTTTGCTGTGCAGAAGCTCTTTACTTTAGTTAGATCCCATTTGTCAATTTTGGCTTTTGTTGCCGTTGCTTTTGGTGTTTTAGACATGAAGTCCTTGCCCATGCCTATGTCCTGAATGGTATTACCTAGGTTTTCTTCTAGGGTTTTTATGGTTTTAGGTCTAACATTTAAGTCTCTAATCCATCTTGAATTAATTTTCATATAAGGAGTAAGGAAAGGATCCAGTTTCAGCCTTCTACTTTTGCACCATTTATTAAATAGGGAATCCTTTCCCCATTTCTTGTTTTTCTCAGATTTGTCAAAGATCAGATGGCTGTAGATGTGTGGTATTATTTCTGAGGGCTCTGTTCTGTTCCATTGCTCTGTATCTCTGTTTTGGTACCAGTACCATGCTGTTTTGGTTACTGTAGCCTTGTAATATAGTTTGAAGACAGGTAGCGTGATGCCTCCAGCTTTCTTCTTTTGGCTTAGGATTGTCTTTGCAATGTGGGGTCTTTTTGATTCCATATGAACTTTAAAGCAGTTTTTTCCAATTCTGTGAAGAAACTCATTGGTAGCTTAATGGGGATGGCATTGAATCTATAAATTACCTTGAGCAGTATGGCCATTTTCACAATATTGATTCTTCCTTTCCATGAGTGTGGTATGTTCTTCCATTTGTTTGTGTCCTCTTTTATTTCACTGAGCAGTGGTTTGTAGTTCCCCTTGAAGAGGTCCTTTATGTCCCTTGTAAGTTGGATTCCTAGGTATTTTATTCTCTTTGAAGCTACTGTGAATGGGAGTTCATTCATGATTTGGCTCTCTGTTTGTCTGTTACTGGTGTATAAGAATGCTTGTGATTTTTGCACATTGATTTTTTATCGTTTTATGACAGTATCTGTGTAATAAATACTCTCTGAAGCAAACATAGTGTCTCTATCTGGAGCAAAAGGCCGGTATAAAATTGATGTCTTTATCCAGAGCAAGGTCAAGCAAGCATCCTGTCAATGATGAAAGCTTTGGGTTCCCTAGACTTGGGTTTCCTCTCCTGTAAACACAACCTGCTGCATGTGCAGGTGGAATGTGGCCCTCTTCACCTCACCCTGTGAGAAGTGAGACTTATGCAACTAGCACAAAAATGCAAATGATCTGACTACTTCTATTCTTAAGAATAATAATCTATCTTTCAGCTCTGACCCATGAGTTTTATGTCTTCTAACAGCATCAATGAAACCATAGTAGGCTAACTTGTCTCATTTTTCACTGTTCACAAGAGTATGTGTATATAAAATATACTTACTTGCCCCTCGCAGAAGACTGCTAAAGCTTCATTCCTTTATGGCATTAGTCTCAGGCATAGAGTCTAGAACATCATTGCTGAAATGACATTCAAATAATGGATAGGACTCCTCTGGTGCAGTTATCCCTGATCTGAAGATCTGTGAACTAAAGTTATCTATTACCCATATTGTACACTGAGGTTCAAATAGGGATTTACAATGGTGAGATAGGGACAGATGAACCACAATGGAATATCTTCTTTAAAAAGGATCGATGGGGTGGTGAGAGGCACATAACTGTCACTAATGTTGAAATTCTGGAATCTAGCCCTCTTTATTGTTCACAGGGCAAAAATAGTGAGTTCATTAGAACTCAGTGTTGCTCTCTGAGAGTGGTTTTTTTGTTTGTTTGTTTGTGTGTTTTGTTTTGCAGCTCTTTGTTCCACCCTCTGGGGTCTTTATTTTCTATTATAATATCCTGCGTTTGCATATGAATAGTTTTGTAAGGCTATGTTTAGCCTGTAGGATTTAGAAATCTTTTTTTTTTTTTTTGCTTTAAATGTCTTCGTTCCTTTTAGTGCAAACCAATATAATTCCTTTCAAAGCTTTGTGGGTTTCCTGAGTATCAAATTATGAATATCAAACACATATCCTTAACATCCTATAAGTCTTTTGTATGGCTGAGACGTTTATAAAGCACCATCTTAAATATTTCTCAGTTCTCTGAAAGAGGTCTTATAGTTGTACCCTTCCTTGACTTTTACTATTCTGAAGTTGCGGTTTACTGTCATTACCTTGTGCTTCATACATGCACTGAGACCTGTTTTTACCTTGAAAACCTTTTACCAACTGGAAAGCCTGGGAATGAAAAAGAGTTTTGCTTTCCAACCCAACAAGTTCTCATTTGTAAAAATCTCCTCTAAATTATGTTCAAAAACTGAACATTTCCTTCTTTAGTTCACTTCTCTTTTGAAAGACTTTAAAAAGACCATTTATACCTGAAATATTCTTCTTGAAAATTACCTTTTCTAGACTACAGATTGATAGTCACTTTCAATTTACTGCAAGTGATAGCCTCCCAATTGTTCTAGCAATATACAACTCCAATCCCCTCAAGCTTTTAATAGCAATCTCTTTCCTGCACTTCAAGCTTCCTTCAACAATCTCCTTACTGCCCGGTCCCAAAGCCACCACCCCTGTATTCGGTTATTATTACAGTGGTATCCTACTTTCAGATACTAATTTCTATTTCAGTTATCTATTGTTGCATAGCAAACAGTTCAAAAACTTAGTGGGTTAAAACATCCACCATTTTATTTGCTCACAATTGTGTAGGTTGGCAGGGGCTAAGCTGCACCATTCTTGTGCTGCTCTTGCTTGTGGTCAGACGGTCGCTGGAGCTGGAGCATTCAAGACAGCTTCCTCCATGTTTAGCTCTTTAGCAGGATCAGAAGTCATGCTAATAGGTATCTTAGAGACAGTCTTTTGTCTATGTGTTTACCCAAGCGCTATGTCTTAATAGTATGGAAACTCTTTCCCTCTCTATTTGGATTTCTCCACATGACTAGCTTGAACTTCTTCACATGGTGTCTGGATCTCAAGAGTAAGAGTTCCTAAACAACAAGCTCCAATGAGCAAGTGTGCATCAAGTCTCTGCTTGAATTATGCTTGTATATACGCCATTGGTCAAACTAAGTAAATTCAGGAGATTACACTCAATTTTGGACAATGTAAATACCTTAGGACTGGTTCATTGGTTCACATAAGATTCTGCCCTGCAACATCAGAGCTTTCTTCATATTTTTCTATTATTGCACTAATAATTTTGTAGTTTTGATTATTTCTTTCTATTTATCATTATGCCCATAGGAACTAGATAAAAGACCTAAAATGCAGTGGGTTAACAATAAATATTTGTAATTCTTTCTCAGTTAATGAATAGATATGGAACTGTCAAGATCAAATCTATTTAAAACTATCAGATAGAGCACTTCATGGATGGGGACCAACTTTGTCCTTGTATTAAATGCTTTATGAAGACGTATAGTAATTTTTGCAAAGAAAAACAAGGTTTGTTAATACTAAAATATGGAATCTTTAGATAAATAATTTAATGTACCACATGGAAGAGAAAAGTATTTAAGAATATCTTAATTATTCCAGTTAAGAGAAAACATGTAAGAAAAGAATTTATTGTCAAGCATTGAGTTTCGAGAACTTTTAGCATTTAAGTGAGGGGATTCTGACTTTAGTAGTTTCCTATTGCTGTAACAAATCACCACAGATGTAGAGATTTAAAACATCACAAATTTGTTTTCTTATGGTTCTGGAGGTCAGCAGTCAAAAATCAGTTTCACTGGGGATCTTCAGGACCTAGAGGCAGAATCAGTTTCTTTCCCTTTTAGCTTCTATAAGAGTATTCCTTGACTTGTAGTCTATTGTCAAAGCACTCCACTCCAATATCTGCTACCATCAACTTATCACCTACTACTGTTCTGACTCTATCTTCTCCTGGTCCCTGTTGCAAGGATCTTAAAAGACCCAACTGGATAATCTCTTAATCTCAAGATTCTTAATTTACTCACATCTTCAAAATATCTTTTTCCATATAAGGCGACAGTCACAGGTTCTAGTGATTAGAATTTGAACGTCTTTGGGGGTGATTATTCATCCTACCACGGTGAGATACTAAATTATACATGCTAAAATTATACATAGTCTGCTAAATTATACATTTTTTCTCTCTCCTTTGATCCATTTTAAGAAAATTGTCAGTTTGAACAGTTCTAAGGATAGAAACAGAGGCAGAAATCAGAAATAAACAGCAAATATTTCTGGCTTTTGTTTTATAAACATGTAAGTCTTAAGGAAGTTTAAAGCATGTAAAAGAAGACTTACAGATTAAGACAATATGTGTTCGACATACATAAGGATAAGAGCGTCCATACAAAAAAAAAAGGAAAAAAAAAGCTTGCATTTTTTCTACTCTCACATACCACAACACACTTATGACACCAGATTCTCCAGCAAACTGGGTGTCCTCTAATTTAATTCGATTCTGACAGTATCTACCTGGAGGTAGCAGCAGATCCCACAGTTTAAGAGACCAGTGTCACAAGACTAAACCCATCTCTGACCCCAATTGCAAGTCCCAGGTTGTTATCTTTGCTTCTGACTAATTGGCTATAAATTAAGGTTTCTATGATCCCTTTCCCAGTTTGATTAATTTACTAGGGCAGCTCACAGAAGTCAGGAAAACACTTACTTGTGTTTATTTTTTTATCACAAAGAGTATTACAAAGAACACACATGAAGAGCCAGATAAAGACATGGATAGGGCAAAACATGTGGGAAGGGGCATGAAGATTCCATGCCCTCTTTGGGTGCCACCTTTCAGGAACCTCCACTTGTTCAGTTATCCAGAAGCTCCCCAAACCCAGTCCTTTCAGTTTTTTGTGGAGGCTTCATTGCATGCCTATATGGATTAGATCATTGGCCATTGTTGATCACCTCATCCTTTGGCCCCTCTCACCTCTCTGAAAGTTGGGAGATGGGGTTGAAATTCCCAGCCCTATAATCACGCCTTGGTCTTTCTGGTGACCCCCATTCTGAGGCTATTTAGAGGTCAGTCACCAGTCATCTCATTAACACACAAAATACATTTTTATCAATCTGGAGATTGCAAGAGTCGTAGAGTTGAAGACTAACTATCTAGTCACAATATCATAGCATGGATGATGGGAGACTCTCACTCAAGAATAGAGATCCCCTGAGCTTGTGAAGGAGGTAAGAAAAAGATCTGTGTTTTCTGGCAGTGTAACCAAGAAAGCAGCAAGATTCCTGATGTGAATGAGATTAAATAGGAAAACATTCTCTCATCAAAACCTGGTGTATTAGTCTGTTCTCATGCTACTAATAAAGACATACTTGAGACTGGGTAATTTAAAAAGGAAAGTGGTTTAATTGACTCACAGTCCCACATGGCTGGGGAGGCCTCACTATCATGGCAGAAGATGAATGAGGAGCAAAGTCACATTTTACATGGTAGCAGGCAAGAGAACGTGTGCAGGGGAACTCCCATTTGTAAAACCATCAGATCTCATGAGACTTACTACCATGGGACCAGAATGGGAAAGCCCTACCTCCATGATTCAATTACTTCCAACCAGGTTCCTCCTACGACACATGGGAATTATAGGAGCTACAATTCAAGATGAGATTTAGGTAAGGACCCAGCCAAATCATATCACCTGGCATAGAAGCAACAGAGACCTGAAGAGGTTGCGCAAACAGAGGAATGGATGATTAGATAGTTATACCAATGAACATCCCTCAATGCTTTAGCACTGGAAAAGAACCAAGGGGTCAAGATAGGAAGGACACTAGTAATGATGACAATTGAATTTTTTACCAGATGGATAGCATGGAGTCTCAGCGTCAAAAATGAAGTTGTAGAAAAATATTAATATATATATATTTTTGCATGCCTGAGATTGAGGACTAAAGTTTATTCCTACTTGCTTAGCTCTCTCTCTCACTCTCATGTTTGCTATATAATTTTTGACATTGTTTCAAAAATATAAAAAGAAGAATTATAATTTTGGTGTATTTGAAATAAAAGTATAAACATATTTTAGAAAAACACTTGTCTCCCACCCATTATTACTCTTTATTGGTCATATTAACTAGGTTAATTTTAGATTCATATTTATTCTTGTATTGACATATCTATTAGAGTTCCTGAGAAAAATGTAAAATTTTTCTCCCTAGACTTTAAGTATACTAATTCCACAATTTCCTGTTAATAATATCTGTCAAAAGTATTATACTGACTTTTTCAAGTTGTTTGTTACTCAAGGGAAAAAGTGTTTATCTCTATGTTCTTATTTTGACATTGCTTATTAAAATGTAGAATCTGTATACAACTTCTTTTTCCTCTGAGAGCAACTGAATTATGCAAAATAGCTATAAAAATGATTTCAAGAAAGATAGCCAAGAGTCCTCCCTACTGAGAATTTAACTTTAATTTTCAGATAGTTTTACATGAATTGCCTCATTTGATTTTCAGAACAATAGTATATAGTATGGCAGGCATTTTCACGTAAATTTGACTAAATAAATTATTGCAGAAACTCAAGTGGGCTATTGTGAGAATTAGAAGTAGAAATTCCATCTGCTCAATAAATACTAACCACTATTGCCATTATTTTATACATATGAAAAGTGAGGCTTGTTTATTATGGCTTGATTATGATTATAGCTTGTTCCATTTCTTCTGACCCAGAGTCCAAAGTTTTATCCTCAATGCCCAAGAGAGAGTACCTGTTAATTTTTCCCTTCAAATAATCTTAATTGACTTAGTAGTAGAAAAACAACAGGAATAATCTCACAGATCGTATTCCATCTGTAGGATATCAGTGTAGGCTCAACATTTACTTCTGAACAAAAGAGCTCTGCCAAGTCCAATCCCCTCAACCTCCCATACTACCAGTGTTTATCTTTCGAGGGAAAAAAAAAAAAAGAAATCCCTAGAAAGGTCTTACTCCTTTTTTCTCGAAGGTGAGAGGAAAAACACCTTTTGAAACTACTCTTGCTGTCAAAGTTCAGTCCTTGATTTGTGAAGTCTGGTCTTGCAAAAGTACTAAATCAAAGTAAAATGGATTTACATTTGTAAACTTTGTTTCCACTTAATGGGATTAGAAAGATCACTCACATTAAACAAACAAAAACATCGGTTCAGCATCAAGACAGACAGAACAGTAAATTAACCATATACAAACTTTGAGACTCAGTGTGAATTTAGGCTTACAAATTCTATTTTAAGATGGTTTGAAGAATCAAGAAACTTCCAGAGTGTGTTTATATTTTTTTATATCTACTCTTTACCTGAGCCATGTGCACTATTGAAGAGAGAAAAGACACAAAAGAATGATATACAATGTGCAATGAGGTTGGTTGGAGAGCAGTTGAAAGACAGATCTTCTAAATCTAAACTTCTCCAGATGCAAAGATTTAAGTGTGAAGATTTCAACTCACACAAAAGCAGCAACACTTCCACTGAAAATCCTCTCAATGTGCAGAGAACAAATGCACAACACTTTTTCAGAATATACAGCAATAAATGTTTTCTTACTTCAAATGAAAGTACCTTAAGCTTTCCCAAATAAACTAGCTTTGAATTTATCTGGCAGTATTATGACCCTGATTACACTTATGTCTGCTTACACTTATGAAAAAATTTTGTAATCTGTTAATTATATCTGTTTACATTCTTATCTTCTCTAAAAGAGAACTCAGTACTGTCTTAACTTCTGGCCTTCCATAGACATCAGATTTCTCCATGTGGAAATCAAGTAAGGTATATGAAATGAAAGCTGCAAACAGCATGATTATTTACTAATTTGTTTTGTCTTTGGGCTTTTGCCAACATATAATCACAATAACCAACTAAATTTGAGAGAGATAAAGATCATGTTAGGACTTGTGCAGCCACAGGGCAGATGATATAAATAGACCTGATAAAATAGGAAGGAGGCTAGTAAATGGGCCCGAAGTTTTATTCAAAAAGTTCAACTAAGATAACAAAAGTCAGGCAGATGCTGTAGGGTAAAGTCAGCAAGGTGATTGGGCAACTGGATTTGAGGACCAAGATTAAGTAAGTGGCAAAACCCAAATCAATGATTTTCGCAACAGAAAGATACTTGGGCATAAAAACTTCAGGGACAAGAAAAAAAAGGTTACTTTATGCAGAGCCCTGTGATCCTCACAAATGCTTCTTTTGCAAGCAATGCCTATGAAATATCAAGAGAAAGTTTAGGTGTGTTTGGTATTTTAATAAATATCTTAAATCATATACATTCAGATCAAGCCTGAAAGTTAATCTAGTGAGGTTACTGTTAACAAGCACAGTTCTGAAATCCTCTTGTTAAAATTGCTTTCAATATTGCATCATCTCACTTATATATGTAAATCTAAAAATATAACAAAACAGTTAAATATGCGGAAAATAGTAGACCTGTGTTTACCAGGGTGAAGGAAAAGGGGAGAGGTAAGTCAAAAGGTAGAGTTGCAGTTATATAGTGTGAGTAAATCTAGAAATCTAATGCACAGCATGAGGATATAGTCAACAATAATTGCTTTGTATAAATGGAAATTTGCTAAGAGAGTATAGATTTCAGGTGCTCTGACTCCGAACCAAAAAAAATTACTATATGAAGTTATGGATATATTAATATGCTTCCGTAGGTATTGTTTTACTATTTATGTATATCAAAACATTATCATAGACCTTAAACATAGCAAAAAAGAGAAAAGAAAAAGAAAATAATAAATATCTGGAAAAAGATTGTTTTCACGTCCACCTTAAAATCACACAGTGAGATCAATGATATTATTCATGGAGAAGACAAGCTGAATCTATGCTTATGCTTGTCCACTCTGCTGCCAAAATCTCACCCCTACATTGACCATTATTTCAAATAAAAGTAAAATACTTAATTAGCTACTACTTTTTGTGGCAATCAGAAAATTTAAAATAAAAACGTGGGACTGCTGCCTCATTCACCTTCTCAAAATACCAACAGCGGCCTAGGGAAAGTAATACAGAGGGTCCTTTGCCTCAAATATCTCATTCTTAGTGGGTATTAGAAAGCTGTGAATAGTTGCAAAACTTATATGGGACCTTCCTCTTTGACATGACTTGAGTAACTCCAGTCAATGCCTTACTGAAAAAAATATTATTTTCACCATATACTTATCTTGCATATCCCAAATTTCATTGATTGGGTGCCATTGCCTTAAGCTCTATATACTTGCAAACAGATGCTTATCTCCCACATCTACAACCGAAAAACATGTTGATGTACATAACTCTTAGCCCAATATTCACTAACAAATAGTCAGTGACGTGCTACTGATCAGACATAGGGCCTCTGATATCTAGTTTTGCCTAATTTTGCAGCACTCAGATCATACATTTTAGAATGTTGTACATCACTAGACAACTCCTCACCACCCCTCACCCCACATACACATTATAACATTGTTTTCTGTAATCTCCAAACATATGTACAAAAAGGGGTTGTCATGGTAGTAATAATCATGGGTTAAGGGGCAGGAAGATGAATTTCAAAATATAGCCTCCCTAGAGTAAAAAGATATTTGCCTAGTGTTCTGATTGATGCAGATTTATTTTTGGACCAGGGAAATAACAGGAAAGAGAAAATTTTACCTACTCCTAATTAAGTAAAGTAAGGTTGAAATACCTATCACAATTTTCAACTCAATTCTTTTACTTTCCAGTTTATGAAAATTTCTCATAGATACTTGCAATAGGTTAATTGTCAGTTCTGGTTTACAGTGTTCTGACTTTTTTAATCTTCCTGTGCCTTCACAGATATGTTTGTGAAAAGTTGAGCCCAGCTGGATCATGGGCTGCAAACCACATGCCATTTTACACCAAAAACCTCTGTTTTCTCTCTGAACCTGCTTGCAATTACTCTCATCCTCTGATTTCCTGGATTTCTGGCACTTTAGCTCAGTTTCTACATCTGTTTCTAACCCACTTGGTTTGGTGAACATCTCCTTCCAAGCTTTTTGGACTTATTCACACATTCTGGGATCTGCTCATTTCTCTGGTTTTGGTGACATCTATCCCATCCCCTCACCTGCTACCATTCCCCTTTTGTACTGGAACAATTGCCAGATGGGGTCTTGCCCCCAGAGCTACAGACAAGTGAAGAGTAGTAATAGTTATTTTGTAAAACCAAAGCCCATGTGGAATCTTTGAATCAGGTGAGCTTGTCTTTCTAGGGTATGAGTATTGTATAATTATTTTTAAACTTATTACTGTTTTGTGTGTCGTTTTTGGTCTTTTGTCTTTAAAGACAATTTTTGCATGGTGTGCACTAAATAGAAAATAGGTTATTTAAGCAAGAACCTTGGGTTGCCAAATAATATTTTGAAAACAAATACAAGAAAATCACACGAGATGATTACATGAAGAGCTGAAGCAAGACTATGAAGTGTAATGTCACTAAAGATTATTGGGTTAAGATCTGAAACTTTCATGCTTATTGTATTAT